TTTATAAAAATATTCTGCATTAATTTTTCCTTTAACTACGCGAGGTGTTTTCAGATCTACTGAGGTTAAATAAGGTAACTGCCGGTAATTGCAATTTCAAATTTAAGTCGTTTATGGCTTCCACTACAAAAATGTTCATATATTGTTACCTTCAAGTAGAAAGTCTTCATCACTTTTTAGCAACCGACACATTTTGATTTAATTTGCATTCAGATGAACTTCTACTGAATCCTTGAGATCTATATCCATTACCTCTGATCTCTACTCTCGAGATCTATATCTATAGACTCTTCTTGTTGGAAATTTTCATCATGGTAGATACTAGATATGATCAACGCATTGACTATCTTCTGCTTTATCATAATATACAGATAATCACTCATGTATTTTGTTATTTAAACAATTTTTTTTTCTTTCTATATTTATTTGATTATACTTTATTTTGCAAGATTCTAAAAGCGTCTTTTTTACTAAGATATGAACTGAGCTCTGATAAAATAATTTCTAGGATGGTAAAATACGCTTAGCGAAACTTATGGATATTAAAAATATTTTTGCATACTTGATAACCGCTATTTATATATATTATATACCATGCAACAAGCAGAATCTAAACGCAGAAGTATTTTAAACTTATTGAATCCAGCCATAATCACGTTTATAAAGTAATTATAAATTAAAAGAAAAGTAAAAAAAATTTTAGCTGCAAAACTTAATAATAATTAGAAAAGGGTGTATATATATAATTTTTTGGATATAAATAAACTACAATGAAACGGTTGTTTTAACTGACCTCTGAAACAGAGAATCTGTGCGGTGCACATTTTAAAGGTTCAAACAACTATGCAGACTAGATGCAAAATACAATATTGTAAAATTATTCTAAGCTACTTAATTAAAGTAGAGATGAATAAACGTCATAATCAATCCCATTTAATTGTCATATTCTTGTAAAAATGGCATATTATCGTAAAATCAAATATAAGTCAGAGAATTTGTACTTGAGCAAAAAATGATCTTTACTTTAGCCCAAGATAAGACCGTATGTATGTATGTGGATTTAGTCAAAAGGCCTTTGACCGAGGGATATAGAAGCTGACGAGAAAAGGGTTGACGCTACTCCGTGCGGACGATCATCGTTGCGCCAACGAGCGAGCGCGCGTTCGCCTAATTGCCAAGCGCCCATGCGTGATATGCAACAGGAAAGGGCGCGGACCCGTTGTGTTTTTGCGTGAAAGGAGAAGCGATGAACCCACCGTCCGTCGTTTTCTTTCTTTTTTTTTTCGAATTTTCACAGTTTTTACACGAACGCGTAACAGCTGTTTCCATAGCATAATTTTTTTTGTTTATGTTTTTTTTCTCGTTTAAAGATCTAAAGTACAAACACTGCTCGCTGATATAATAACCCAGTAATAATTTAAATCGTAAATGATATTTTTGTATCAAAAATTATTATATAGCGTTGTGCTGGCGGTTGTGTTAAACGTCCTCACTAGCAAACATTTCGTAAATTTATTACATCCTAGAAAAAAAATATTCTTAAAATAGCGTGTATGGACGAGTTCATTTGAAATGTTTTTGAAATTCGCTGTTTTTATCTTACTTTTATGCGCCCATGATCAAGACAGAGTAAAGTAAACAATTTGAATAAAAGGTCCTCGAATCATTCATCATTTTCACCAAAAAGAAATCTAATATAATAAATAACGCAACAATCAACCATACATACTTCAGTTTCAAATCACTTCAAGTCTTTTCACGCACAAGAAAAAAGTCTGACAAATAAAAAAATATAAATAAATAAATAGAATCATTCACATCACGAGAGGATATGCACGTTCAAAGCCAAGCCTCGACTGAAGCTGCTGATCGTGTAGTTGTACAAAGTTTGAATAGCGCAGAGGAGAGGAGCGCCGCTTCCGGGTGTATACATGTATATGTGTATGTAGACAAGGATGGAACAAATATATCAATGCGTATGTGTAAGCAAAAATGGAAGGATAAAAGAAAGGAAATAAGCGGCTAATCGGTTTCCCCGCCCTTTCAATGTGGCTCACGCCTATACTGCCATATTAATCAGATGTATGTATATATTTTGTGATATATGGTGATTAATGTACCGATAATTAATTTTATTTTGTATAGGTTATTACTATAACACTATAAAACGAAATCTGAAAATGGGAAATTTCCGTACTTCTAATATGATGCAGCAGGAATAACTTCTAAGGATCGCTAAAAATGAAAAATCAGTGTTGATAAGACGTATCATACAAAAAAATCATTGTTTATCTTTATGAAACTAAAGAAATGTATATGTACAATGTGTGCCTTATATGGGTCATGTCCCTCTCAATGTGTTAAAATTTGTTTCTCAAACCAAGAATATTAACAAATAAGATGTTCAAGAATTTTACGGCAATAAGAGTTCTCTTTTAATGCATTATACCGAAAATCCGTTTTTCCAAATCGACTGAAGTTCGATTATACGCAATCGCAAAATTATTCTCGAGAAGGAGACTAAACACGATAATCGTGTCGTGGCTAATTGTATGGGCACTTCATCGCAAATGAGCCATTAGTTTGCGCTCAAACCGAAAGACAGATCATTAGTGCCGGATGGCAGTGAGAAAAAAAAGAGGAAGGCGTGAAAACGAGCGATTGCTAAGCGTTAGAATAATGAAAGAGGAGGCTGTGCGACGGGAGCGCCGAGCAGAAAAAAAGAACGAACAGGAGGAGGTGAGGGAGAAAATTTATGGTAATACTTGTCCAAGCCGACACGCGACACTTGCATGTGCACACACGTGCGACAAGTGTGGTGCACAGTAAATCCATTTTTTCGTCCGCTGCACTTTTCTCTTTCCCTTTTTTTATGACTCTGACCGTTAATTTTTTTAACTATTAATAGTAGTCACTGCAATGCCGCTTTCTCGATTGAAGATTTTAATAATCATCGCGATAAAGTTATCTAAAATTTTGTTATAATACCTCGACCGCATGTCTCTCATTTGAAAAGCACGCAAGTATAATATCGCACAGCTCGCAAGCGTGGAAACTCCTGAAGTGCACATCGTCGAGCGAGAGTATAGAGCGCGATAAGGGCGATTGTCTCAACGCGCGACAGCGAGAGCGAATGCGATTGTGGCATCGAAACAAAGCTGACAATCGTATATACGAATATTGCTTATAAATAATTTTGTATGCACTGTGATTATGTTTTATATTAACTTTTTGTACTTCATATTCAGAATGACGACGTAAATTGGTTTTATAATCGTATTGACCATAGTCTATAATGAAAGATTATCAGAATAATAATTTTATCTATCAATTTATCACGATAGTGGTAAAAGTTCGCCAGACACTAAAACTGGTATAGATAAATTATAAAAAATTATTTTAATATTGAAAAAAATTTGATAATTTTATTCTGATTCTCATCGAATAAATGTAAACTACCGTGCATTCAACTTGCTCATTTCAAAGACAATTCGCTTGAGGCAATCTGTGACACATAGAAGCTGCTCAAGTCCGCAATGCGCAAAATTTCATAAACTCTCTACTGCGTACGTTGACTCCGACAAGGCAAAGCTCAAAAGTTATCACAATAGATCGAAAACCGGAAGCATCTCTCATCTATTTTGTACACGCACAACTAACGAGCCGAATTGGCCACTCCTCTTCGATTAAAGTATTATTATACCTATGTATGCGTGATTCTCTCTCCCTCTCTTTCTCTGATCTCTTTGAAAAACGAGACCAAATTATTAAAGATCTGATGTTAAATAAAATAGTTTGGAAAATAATTAGTATACGGAATGTAACTAGGGACAAAAAAAAAAGTATTTTTGGACATAAACAGTTTTTATTGAGAATACAAAGGTTGAGAATACAAGTTTTATTGAGAATATAAAAGAATACGGAATTTGGAACGAGAAAACTTCAATAAATAAAACGTACTAGCCACAAGCTGTCCCGCATTGATAAGCTAAGTATTAACTTTCTTTATATGAAGGTCATATGGAACAATAAACTTTATAATTTTGTTACTTAGCTTTGATAATTACAATCGATACCATGTAAAAATATCGCTTTACAAAATCTATGTTTGTTAAATTATAAATTACAAATAAATTTTTATTACATATTGAATTTTTATTTACCAGCAAATATCAACAATTTTAATGTATTTCAAATTACGTTAGTAACACGTCTGTATTACTCAAATCATAAAATTGACATCTAAAAGATTTTACTAATGCAAACACATTATTAAATAACATAAAAATTAAAAAAAAGTAAAAACATTTGCCTATCTAACCACACTAGTATTTGAAAATGAAGATGAATCGTTATGCCTGGATCTTCTTTTAATCAAAATGTAGCTTTTGTTATCAAACATCAATACCAAAAGTTCATTACGAAGAGATTCAGTGTGACTTGCGGCGTACGTTACAATAAGTAGTAATCTTACGTACTATCATATTTGATAACGCAATCTACCGTGACTTGTATGTAATCAGTGCGTTATTGTTTTCTTCCTGAAGGATAGAACGAAATTTGAGAGTCTAAATTATTTCCGCTCAGCAAACTATGTAAGAACCTTGCTTAATGTATTTATTATCAGTCATGATAAGAGTAAAAAGATTTTGGCTAAAACGAACTCGAGAACAGTTCGTTTTCAGCTCGCATCGAAGTATCTGATTTTTTTTTCGATTCTACCTGATTATAAAGAATTAAAGGTTGTCATGGAGAACTTCATACATTCTAAAAGTAGAATGATTCTAATAGTGACAGGAATAATTATCATTGGTGGACTACTTGGAATTATGATCCACTATATGACCTGTAAGTATCATTATCGTGGCACAATATAAATAAATGAATTGATTTATATTTATCATTTATCATAAAAAGCAGCAAATTCAAATAACTCGGTGATTACTACGAACCTTTCAACTATTAAGCTAGAAATTACTTATCCGACAACTACTGTAGTTATGGATTCTGTTGGAGTTATTGACCTACCAAATATCAGTTCAATAATCAAAGAATCAGGGACAATACATCCAAATACTACTAGCACTGCAAAGTCGACGATAACATTTTCATCAACACCAGAAACCATCTCAACTATATTCAGCACTCCAGCAATACTAGAAACAAACTTAACTACACTGAGCACTTCAGCAACGGAATTCTCAACTCCAACCACTACGGCACCATCGATGAGTTCTCCAGTAAAATTAGAAACCAATTCAACTACATTAAGCAATCCAACAACATTCGGAACAAATTTAACTGCAGCAAGTACTTCAAAAACAGAATCTACAATTCCAAGTACTTTTGTGCCTTCGACGAGTTTTATAGCAGTACCAGGAATCAACTTAACTATACCAAGCACTCTAGTAAAACCAGGAACAAACGTAATTACTCTGAGTACTTCGGAAATAAAATCCTCAACTCCAAGCACTTCGGTACCATCGCTGAGTTCTTCAGCTGCATCAGGAACTAGCTCAACTAAACCGAGCAATCCAGCAACTCCAGAAACCAATTCAATAACATTAAACACTCTAAAAACAGAATCTACAACTCCAAGCACTTCAGCGCCACTGCTGAGTTCTTTTACAGTACCAGGATTCAACTTAACTACACCAAGCACTCTAGTAAAACCAGAAACAAACTTAATTACACTGAGCACTTCAGAAATAGAATCCTCAACTCCAAGCACTCCGGTACCACTGCTGAGTTCTTCAGTAGTATCAGGAACTAGCTCAACTACACCGAGCACTCCAGCAACACCAGGAACCAACTCAATTACACTGAGCACTTAAAAAACAGATTCTACAACTCCAAGCATTTCGGTGCCATTGTCGAGTTCATTAACAGTACCAAGAATCAACCTGAAAAACTTTTACAGAAGAAATCTATAACCCGTTAGACTATATTGTCGTACTTTTTAATTAAGTATTAATAAATAAACATAGCATTTACTGAACACCTGGCAAAATCAGACAAGCATATACATCGTTCTATATAAGTATGTATTACTGTATAATGCGACATTGTCAAATTTTAGTATCGTGTTAGTAGTTCAGTTAGCTGTAGAAAACAGCGCTAAGCAATGTTCTTGAAGAACTGTATTATAGATGAAGATTTATCATTTTATGTTTAAAAGAACCACTTTTTCAAACTAGTCTTGGAAATATCTAATGATTACTTCATAGTTTATTAATTTGGAAAAAATATGTAGATGAATTAGCAGTATTCCGTACAATACATATCTGTGATACGAACATAATAAAAATAATATTTCTATATAGTTATTTACAGCAATCAAGTTATTTGATTATCTTTAACTTATCAAATTATAATTCATAAAATAACTCGAATCTCAGGATTTAAAAGGACACGGTTAAAGTTCTAGCTCATCGATTTTTTTAGAAAAATGGAAGAATTAGATTTATGATAGATTTCAATAAAGGAAAAAATTGTTCAGTTAATCTCATAGATCTTTGATTTGTACATAGGTGCCTAATATTACCATAAATTTAGAGAGAAAAGGGATGACGTCTTTTTTTCTTAGCTTAAACTAAATCTTATATAAAATAGTTTCGGAAAGTAATATGAATAGTAGTTTTTTTAATTTTGTACTTGTGTAAGATGTGTACTAGAAAAATCAGTACATTTTTACAGAAATAATGTTAATTCATTAGCATTATTCATATTAAGTTACGTAAAAAACAAGCGTTATTAAAAGTATAATCTGACAGTGCTTATATCATAAAGAAGTAGTTAATTACCGTTGCTTGGTGAATGAATCGACAATTTTCATAATCGATATCAATAATCTGCTTAATCAAATAAAATCATTTATATTATTGTATGAAATCTGTATAAATTTGATATATTAGACAAAAAATAGGGAACTCTTGAATTGAATGGAAAAATTTATTTGCGACTTAAAAATATTTCTTAATTATTAATAATCTTAACTACTTCTTAATTGTTAAACGTTCATCAATGTGAATTATGTATGTGCTATTTCAGAGTTATTACTTTATTATTTAGGTTATTCATGGTTTAGGAAATAAATGATTTTTTTTACAATTGTATAATTTACTTTTGATTTTTGATGAAAAAATGCGAATGACAATTTGGAGAAAAATAAATGGGAGATAATGAAAATTTAATAAATTTAAAGAATCAGCCATTAATTTGACGAAAGGGGTCTGGAAAATTATTATAATTTAATATGAAGTAGTATAATTTTTTAAGCGGAAGCAAGCTTATAAAAAAATGTTGACTCGACGTATATAGGAAGAAAGTGGATCTTCCAGTAATATATTCATTGTCAACTGTATTTGTGAGTAAAGTTGGTAAGACAGTGTAAGGTTAAGCGAAAATAATTGTCATATTTGGAATCATTATTTTGATTGCAGAAACAAACGGAAAAACAAAGAAACAATGAATTCTATTATTAAACTATACTAAATAATTGGTGTAAAAAAACCCTCGGTTGGGAAAAGAGCCGTTATTTTACAATTACACTTAAGCGATGCACGAAGTATGCAAATAAGACAGACAAAGGCATAGTACGCGAGAGAAAAATATTAAGCTGTTAAAGTAACTTGCCTGGTCGGTACCCAAGAAAGAGCGAAACGAGAGCTCTGTCACTTACCGCTTGAACTTTCCGGCCTCCTGTTCCGCTGACTGCGGCAGCGGTGTTGGACCTTTACACATGCATAGCTTCTCGACGTCCGTATGCTCCTGCTCCTTGCGTTCTCGCTTCCTTTTCGCTTACTAGTCCACTGACCAAAGGTTAATCATATGTTAATACTGTAAAATACTGCGATAATCCTATACAAAAATTTTGACTTTTCAAGTTTTTTAGCAGTTCTATCAGCATATTCATCTCATCACACCTGTTATTTTTTAAAAGTTCTTGAAAAATTTTTATTTTTAATGTGAGTAATGAGGGTCCGATAGTCTAGTAACTATGTGCATAGCACGTGGACTACAGCCTCCAGGACTAACCACGGAGCTGTGACTTGACGATACGGCAATGATGACATATACATGCGTTCATCAACAACAATGGATATAGTTCAGAACGTCGAGAGGCATGGGCGCTGATACAGTCTCATCTGCTATTTGTCGCACCATATCATGCGATCAATTGCATTTAGGACTTACAGTACTCATCAAGTCCTTTACTACTTTAATATTTTTTTTCTAATAATATGGATTATCGCAGTTTTAATTTCTTCGTATCGCATCTTATTCACTATGCTTTATACTATCTCCAATTTGTATGTTAAGTTATAAATGTAAAATTCGGGAAGCAGGAAATGAATTATAGCCAATACTCTTATTGTGAATTTTTTCCTTTGTTGATAACAATGTGTATGTGTATGTGATAATGCGTTGATTATATGACTAATAAAATATATAAAAGGCTTCATGTAGAAATCTACAGTACTCGAGTGACCGCTGATTATTTTACATCTTCCTTAAACAATGTGTTTGTCGCGCAACTGCCTTATAAGCATACTTGCCATCATCTTCTTAGTTGCTATTGGTTTTGGCATATACTTTACAGTTTGTATGTATTATTATATTTATACGTAATATTCTGTTTTTCTATAATTTAATCTGTTTTCCAGCTGGTGGTAAGTCGAGTCCAGAGGTAAAACCAAGTCCAAACCAACCACCTAATAATGATATGTTTCTTATTAAATTTAATGATGGCACAATCACATTATATAATCATACTGATGATAACGTTAAGGTTAAAGTAGAGGATAAACATTTCGGAATTACGTCGTTCGGCCCATACCTCGACCAAACGATATATTATGCAACGACTGAGTCTAAGAGCATTATTCGCTCTACAAATAATAAAGATTATCCAAATCTTCCACAATTCACTGCTGACTGGATCAAAACTGCAATAGCAGTTGATAGTGTTACCAAGACAATTTATGTAGTTGATCGAATAGCAAAACAAATTAATGTGGTTGATGGAAAATTACACTATGTTCTGCCGTTGGCATTGAACGAACCGAAAGATGTAATTTTGATACCGGAAAATGGCATGATGTTCATTCTGGAAGAAGCAAATCTGGCAGATTCAAAGGTAAAACATAATATATGTACGTAGCTTGTATTGTCAATTACTTACGAATGACTTATTAGATTAAAATTATGCTCAGATAATCATGGCAGATATGGATGGGACGAATCAAACGACACTTTTGACTCAAAATTATATTCAAGCTTTAGCTGTGGATAAAAAAAATGGATTTCTTTACTTTGCACATCGAGGAGGACTAGAATCATACGACTACTTACAGTCGAAGAAGCGGTTTGTATTGAATACAGATGTAACGGATATTCAAAGTTTGCTTTACATAAATATGAAACTTTACTTCGTCAACAAAAAGGGAAAATCAAATAAAAACGTAGGTACCAGTTTGGACGTATGCCATCTTAATAATATAAAATGTTTGAACAAGTGCTGTGAAATATTCATCGTTTATCGTAATGAACAATTAGACCAAGTGAAAACTTTCGAAATAGAAAAACCAACGAAAAATCCATGTGAAATCAAGAATGGCAACTGCGAACAGTTATGTCTTTTGAATACAAGCGCCAAAGGTTATAGTTGCCAGTGTGAAACTAGATTTAAATTGAAGCCTGATAACAAAACCTGCGAGAAACTAAAATCATAAAAAACATTTGAAAACAAGTGAAAAATTATGATTGAAGTTACAAGCTATTGAAAATGAAAATATGCTTGACGAAGTTTTTGATGAAGTAATATACTGTCATCATAATTTATGGTAACAATATTTGGATAGTTGTTCATATATAACTTTATAGCTATATTATTTGATTATACCGTATGTAAAATCACTCCTACCATTATTTATTAAATAATTAGATACAATTAATGAAATGTTTTAATAACTGTCTCTTAAACTTGAATTATCATAGATTTAAATTTTTGTAATAGCCTATACTTTTTTATATATTACCCTATATTTATGAGTCATCTTAAATAAAACTCTGATAAAATTATAAAGCATATTTATAAAAATAAGTTTATTAAATTTCTGATCTGTTGCATCAATGTTTTGACGTAACAAAACAATTATTGAATAATTGTTTACTGTCAAGATCGAAATTAAAAAAAATTTTTGATTAGATTATTGTAATCTTTGATATTTTATCCTGAAGATAAAGTATTTTTTTCATAAATCCGAATATAAAGAAAATAGAATCGTTATTAATATTACATTTTAAGCATAATATCAATTACTATTATTTTCAATATTTTATAGGAAAAAAATATATATTGCATTATTATTGCAGAATTAAGTACTTCTATTTCAATATGTATCTGAAAATGTAAAGTAAATACGAAGATATTTGAATAAAACCGATTTAATTTTCTTTAACTATTGCTCAATTTGTTCCGTACCGCAGTAATTTGTTTTATTTCACAATGCTGTCTTCACAAAATTGTATCTGGTTTATTGTAAAAGCAATTATCGTCGTTTTTGTCAGTAGAATTGTCATTCCTTATTTTTCTTAATAGTAAGTATGAACACGAATTTAAAAAAGTAAATTTTATCTATAATTCATTTGAAAGTACAAAATATTGTAAAATATTTCCGAAGATGATTTATTATTAAAGTCTGTCGACCATTTATCAAGTCAATTTTGATAAGAACAATTAAGATATATATATATATATATATATATATATATATATATATATATATATATATATAAGTTATTCATTGCATGGCTTATCGAAATCTTGTTTAAAAAAATTATTTACTAATATTAGACATTGCCAGTTCAGATTACAGTACAGGGCGATTTACTGATAATTCCTACATTAAAATAGCAAGATATCTGTAGATTATGATATAATAAATCAACTTGACTAACAATAACATCCATCCAACTAACATTATCAATTGCGTTATGCATTATCCAAGATATCGCTTAGATATGTTGTATAAGATGATAATTGAACGATGATTTAACGATTTAACTATAGTTAAATAATTGTTTGTAATAACAATGTGTTAGTTATGACATTGATATTTTTAATTCACACTAGTGATGTCTAGCGCTCCTCACGCGTTTATTTTTTCCGCCTTTTTTCACATTCATTTTAATAATATAGATCAAAATTTTATTGGCGAAATTGAACATTCGAAAATTTAATATGTATTAAATATGCTCGTGATTTAATGTAGCCGATATGTATGAGATATATATACTTATATGCCAACTATATTGATACACTTAATGCATGTATGAAATAATTTTACGTCTAGTTTATAATTTAAGTTAGAAAAAGTCAAATACATAAATTCTAATCAAGTAAAAACTTTCTACTAAATATACAATAATAGTTATCAAAATATTTTTTTTTGTTTTTACATTTACAACATAGTAAAAAATTAATTCAAGTTTTAACTTTCATTGCCTTTTCGAGAATTTTCAACAGTTTTGATGATCTAAAACAATAAATAAAGAATTAATTTAAAATTCACAACTATAGTACCAACTAATTTCAACTTGGAACTGAATATACCTTACCTAAGAACTTTTTTAGAATTAAGAAAATTGTGAAATTCTTGAACACTGTCGAGATGTCCGATATCGTTCCACACAACATCCATGTTCTCAAGATCCTTTGGAATATATTCACAATCCAACCATTTTGTTGCGACACTCTTCCGAGGTGGTACAAATCTTAATTCTCGTGGCAATGATCGACCGAAGGTAAAAGTACATTTTGGCCGACCTTCAACTTTTAGATCTTGTTGAATCTCCTTTTGCGTTGCTTCAAGTTCGTTTGCTTCCGGACAGTAACGAACTTTTACTACAGGCAATGGTACTGTTGGCATCTCTTTGATAACAACCTATCGTTATCAAGATAACAATATTTGAAGCAGTTTTCCAAAAACTCAATTTTCTAAAATTCAACTAACAGTCGCGAAGGAAATAATTAACCTGGGTAGATTTGCATGCATCAGACTTGAAATTAATCTCAAACATGTCCTTGAGAGTTTCTTCATCAATGACCTGCTCATTTCCTCCGAGTTGTCTGACCCAGTCGCAGAATTCTTTGCAAATTTGGTCCATCAATCGCGTAGCTTGCATTTCTAATGTTGCTTTTGGATCGTAACCTTTCATGTCTTTTTCGCAAAGGGGACGCCATATTACTGCCTGACGATTTAAAAAAAATATAAAGCTCGATTTAAGTTATCTAAATACAAATAAAACTGATAAACAATTTACCATTCGTCTCGGTTTGTTCAAGAACAAAGCATATGGATTAACTTTACGATTATTGTGAGATCCCCTACTGCCTAGAGACGTCGGTGGATGAACCTATCAAAATGCAAGTTCAGTATAAAAGAAAACTATAGAAAATAAAATTTTCCAACTTACGATTAAATCAAAAGTCAACTCTGTTTGCGAAGATTTACTGCTTAAACTGTTATCATCAGTTTCATGACTTTCGGCATATTTTGGCATTCCTAAGATTGGCGCCACGAGCCGATAGGCTGTTGGTGGAAGAATACGTTGTAGTTGTCGGGAATTGCTGAGGGGAGGCTGTTTGTGGGAAAATTTGAGATTAGGATCAAAGGTATATGGTTTAAGATATCGCCTTGAATCAATCAACGCATTAAACAAATCATGACCTAATTTTAAATATTTCGCTTCCTCTCTATTTTTAAGTCTCTCGTATTTCTCATTTATTCTTCTAACAAACTCTTTGTTAAGTCTGTCTAAAAGATTTGCCGCGCTGAAATCTTCTTGCAAGCATACTTTGATGATATCGATAACGTCGTGAGTTGACATTATTGGTGATGGAAAAGAACCTGCTATGTGCCTTAATATTACATCCACTAATGGTACTTGTTCTTGTTTGTTTTCAAATTTGACCTCTTCCGACTGGATGCTAATTTCTTCTTCGCTCAGCTCTTCGAATTTTGACTCGTCGCTGGCATCGAATAAATCGAATGTTGTCTTCGCTCTTTTCAATAGCTTCTTATCTTTAACATCTCTAACATCCATGTACGATCCGAATTCAGTCATTTTTCCAGCAACGCTTTTCATTCTAATTAGTTTCTTTTTTTTCTTCAGCTTCTTCTTCGCTTCTTTTTTCTCTTTTTCGACAGTCCCTTCAGGTTTTTTCGTTTCGATTTTTTCATTTTGACTATCACTTTCGCTACCCTCGCTAAATTTGGCTGTTATTGCCGCAGCTCTTGCTCGCAATGACATGAATTTTTTCTGTTTCAGTGCTCGCAAAGGTTCCAAACTTTTTCGCAACATTATAGGCGCGTGACACGGTGCCATGAACTTCGATGCGGGTAACTTGTCTGCATCTTGAGGTCTACGTGAATCGTCTGAATCTGAGCTCTGGTTACTGGGGGTAGACGTTTTGGAACGATCCGAAGATTGAATGAAAAAAGATTTTTCTTTGAGTTGATGTTCTGATTGAGATTTAGGTAATAGGCTTTTATCTTTGGTCTCTGTTGCTGTTAAATTATCTTGATCAAATAATACTCTCGGATGATCTTTCACATCTTGTTCTTTACTCCTGTAAATATTCTCGGAAACATTCGCTTGCTCAAACTCTGGAAAATCGGAAATATCATCTTCGTAGCTTAAAAACGGAGGAGCTCGCATTTCTTCTGTTGTCGAACTTCTGCTAGAACTTGCTACTCTAAATTGCGGAAAATTTTCAATTACTGAAATCACTGTAGTTAAAGGTTTATTCTTATCTCTTCTTATCTTAGTTTCACTTTTGAAAGGTTTGAATAAACAAGCGTAGCACTTGTCGATGTAAGCTCTATGAAAAACTTTAGTTTCTGGAATTCTCTCTAATGCATCAGTCGATGGAATTTCAATTGCTTTACTTTCAAAGTCGGAACTCGAGCTTGAAGAACTTGGAGACGCCGAATAAATTGTCTTGGATTCCATTTTATCCAAGTCTAAAGATACTAACTTTTCTGTTTGACTCTTGCTTACTAAACGCTTTAGCTTTTGACGGACTTCCAGAAAGTCTATCGAAGATTCTTTGTCCAAACTGCGTATTAATTTTTTTAACTTCGGTGAGTCTGGAATCGATGAAATTCTAGATACTGTAGATGATTTTTCAATAGATTTCTCAGTTATTTTTTGAACGTTCGAGTGTTTTTTTTTCGTTAAAACTTTTAACGCCTTATAAGCATATTCTTTTTCTAAATCAGCCATATTTTTCTTATGAGTAATGTATCTTTCTTTTGGGTTTGTACTGTATTTTTTAGTCGATGCTGAAACCGTATCTCTTTGTTTTATAGTCTGATTTTCCAACTCATGATTTTTTTTAACAAACGAATATCCAACCTTTGACATTACGGTTACACTTTTTGGAGTTTCCTCTTCATCGACAGAATCTACGAACGATAGTTTACGAAAACTACGATGCAAACTGACAAAACTCAAATTCGGCGACGCTCGCAACAAATTTCTAGTTGGAACTGCATTCAAATCAGGCTGGGATTGAGCATTTGGAAGTTCCTCTTCCGATTCGAAAGACGAGCGTGTCGTACCAGCCGAACTATCCATGGAAACAGGTCTTGTGAAACTTGGCAAAAGACTAGCCATACCGAGTTTCGGTGCTTTCGACACTCGACTCTCTTGTGCGAATGATTTTTCTTTCGTGCGCGTTAATGAAGCTGACGTTGATTTTCTACCAGATAATTTATGATGCTCGCATACTGATTTCTTTTCTCCCACAATATTCGGCAAAGTTAATGCAGGAGTGTTGGTCGCGTTTTTGTGTAACGGACTCGACTTTTTTGGTAATATCTTTGGTTTGATCGTTTTTTCTAACTTGTACGCCATTGCCATCGTTTTTGGCAATTCGATAATTTCATCGTCAGCTTCATCGTCATCGTTACTAATTACATTGGAATTAACATGAGAACTTTTTTTATATCATTTGCCGTTCTGCATCTTATGCACGGGTGTCGGTGGCGATATCTTAAACTTAAAGTCATCGTAAAATTGGGTTCGTACGGAGGGCACGGATAAGGTTGAAAAGGAGAGATAAGCATCTCTTACTCTTTTATGTTTCTTTTCAATCTCTGCGCAAACTCCATCCCAGTATGACTTCGAGCGAGGAATCGGAAGCTCCCATCTAAAGAAAAAAATAAGTTCCGTGCACACGTTATTCGCTTTTTTTTATTTGTGCTCTATTCAAAAGCTACATAATTACGTCGCTGTATTCCCTCGCTAGGAAAATTTAATTGAAAGCTCAATGATTGGGTTGTATTAGTAAAAAAAATATATTACGAAATAGAGCGACGAATTTTATATAATTATTATGTAAATAATATAGCGAAAAAAAGCGAAGGTATTTATAAAAGTAATATTGTCATGTAAGCTAAACGACATGTAAGTTAAAATGATTTTGAAGAGTGCGATGCTTAAACAATAAACACGTATATAAAAGATTATACTTATAACCTACTTCGACAATTTAAGTGGTCCAATACGTTTTCCAACGCTTCTATGGCAAGAAGACTTTTTCATAGTCGCGAAATCACACATTTTTTTTCTTATTTGTTTGTTTACACAGTTTTCAATTAAAAGACCATTATTCAGGTGTATACACTGGCTAATTTAACCAAAAAGAAACGAGTCAATATAAAAATTTCCCGAATCAATGTATAGCTATGTGATTCTAAGCTGCGCTTGCTTATTGATCAAACAAGTAACGAAAATATCTTTAACGTTTCATGTTTCCTTACATCTTTTTTGTATGTCTCATGGATAGTATTATTATTGATAGATAAGAATTTTGCTTTGATTGCATTAATTGTAAAATCAAGATTTTATTTTAACAAGACCTGACATTTGTCACGAAATATTAAAAAATTGCTTTGCTGCGCGACAAACGGTAAAAAGGTTTTATTGTGTAACCTGTTTCAACATACAACGACGGTTGATAAAATGTGCTCTTATCTCTTGGAGGTAACCTAGGGAAAACTTGTATATATATATATATATATATATCTTCGACATTTAGTTATATAAATTATTTATTAGTGAAATAGTGAATTCAAGTAATTAAAATAACGATTGAAAATTGCACTTTAATTTGAAAAATAAAAGTTAAGAACAAATTAAGTATATGTTAACAAAGTCAATTTGGCATTACTGACCATTATTTTGTTATGAAATATTATTTTTATTATTGAATTTTTACAATATTCACGTTGAAATTGGCATCCCTTATTAAACGATAATTATATTTCAAAATATATTGTTTATCACTTGCAGTTGTACAAAAGTTTTCAGGAAAGTCGTGTAAATATCAAATGAACTAAAAAAATAATGTTTATGCCATTCTTTACGAATACTAAACATAATTTAACGAAGTAGAAAATACCTATGATTCTGTATCACAAGTAAAGTACAAAATTAGGTATTGTAGACTTATTATTTTATAAATAATGAGTAGGTGAAATGTAAACAATTGTATTACATATTTCGGTAATCGTCTCAGTAAATTGTCAGCTTTTCCTGTCGTTGCCAACGTATGTCAGCTTCATCAATGTTGACTATTATGGTTTTATTAATACGAAATTTCAGTCACTTTTATAAAGCAAGTTTCACATATTCTTAGATGAACGAGCGAGATTATGAAGGAAATTGTGTTTGAAATTATTGTATTTGATTATCTAGTTTATTATGAAGGCTCTCTTGTCTACCATATAGCTGAGTACATTTTTGTGCAAGCCATCATGTAATCGATGAGTATTATAGGCATATTTATTTTTAAATAAGTGTAATTTAGATATTGTATTTGGTACGTAAAGAACATTGGACAGAACCAGTTTTATATTTAAACCGTGCGTCATCGATGAACCATTGACTTGTAAACTCGTAGTTTTTATTATATTGATCGTCGATCGGCTTGAAAACGATGTTACAGTCGGGAGTTCTATTATCGACTGTTAATTCTTATCTTTTACTTGGACACATTTAGATAGATGACGCATACCGTCACTACAAGGTGAGGTAGATATTTCGAATGAAAATATTCGCCACATATTTAGTTTAACAGTCTTTATTGTGATTAATACTCACCTGCAAAACGTGAGAATAGATGCCGTCACTTGACAAATCTACACTTTACTGATCTCCGTATAACGACGCCAGCAGTAAGCGAGGGAGACGAAAGGGACGAGGTGACTAAGTCCTATATGTTAAATTCAATGATCGAAAGGTTAAAGTACAAATTTGAATTGTTCATACGAGCTAGAAAATAAAATCTGAAAGTTAAAGATTTATATAAAATTTATATAAAATTTTTCCCAGAAACATTTCTTTATTAAGCTAACTTTCATGAATGTCATTTATATAAAAAAAATTTGTAAATAAAAGAGAATCCTTTGAAAGGGATATTCCATCGAGAATCAGAAAGAGAAAAGGAAAGGAAAACAGAGCGAAGTTTTCCACGGTCGGGTAATTGTTCAAGCAGAGAACATCCGGAGTGGCAGCTGCCGTCAGTTTCCGGATTCAAAGCCCATAGCCTCATCTTTAATTACCAGTTCGCAAAAAAGGAAAAGATAAAAGAAACACAGGCTTTAAAGCAAGATATGACCATCGAGTAGAAGAATATTATATGCCAATTAAAATGTCGAACGAATCGAGATATTTGGAAATTTTCTAATGTAGGTGGGAAGCACAATATGTGTAAGCGTATTCCCAGAGAATGTTTATAGTGATTGGTGACGCTGAATCGACTGTTGACAACAGCAGTAGTAGCCAGTCGGAGAAACGTTCGGTTTGTTTGAGAGAGTGCCGAACGTACAGCGCTTTGCGCGCTGATTCCCCAGATGACTATACCACCCACCTTTTCTCTTCCCTTGGCGATGGGCATTCGCTTACGTTTGTTTCCTAACCTCCCCCCAGTCGTAGTGGTCTTTGCTCTGTTAGCTATCGCCGGTTTCTGTATCGTCGAGGAGAGGAAATCCCCCTTCAATTATGTTGAACTATTGAACCACGAATTTAATTTTTATACAGACAATCTGCTCCTACAATTATCTTAATCAAGTTGAGTTAATGCTTTCGCTCCACTCGTAGTTTCTTATTTTTCTACATGTAGATAGTGAAATACACGTTTAGTATTCCAAATAATGCTATAGTACGTTTTACTATAAGACTTGTCATCGTTTTCTCACGGCAAGTTAGCGTCATTGTTTATGGTAAGTGAGAGCATTCGAAGGTAAACGTTCGCTCTCTTATTCGAAGGAGTGATTCACACACGCGGAAGCGTATAGTAGTAGCGGCTGGCCGTTTGACAGTTTTACTAAAAAGGCGAGCACGACACGATATCTGACAACTATATGCACATTTATTTGCTCGTCTCGCGAAGTTAACTCTCCATTACGTTAAAATTGCCGCTGATTTTTCAAATTTTTAATTCAACGTCCGATTTGCAATTCAAAGCTCATAAACTCGGCATTCGTCGATAACCAACATAATGAATAAATTTAACTCTGTCGAGCGTTCGCATGATATTCAAACGGAATAAGTGCGAAATGGACTTTCGGAAACTGCATTACGCGCGTTGCAATTTGAATATATAACTCGGCTCTTCCACATAGGTGTCCAAATCATAAAGCCCACACACTCGCGGCGGCGATAAAGAAGTAGTCCATATAAGACAGCGAGAGTTAGTATCCTTGATACGTATGGCGCAGCCAAATGAAGCCTCCGCATGCCGGAAATACTTGAACGCGCGACTTGAAATTTATTCGTCAGGTATAATTGCAGTTCGGTCGTTAGCGCGTTTCGTTTTGCGAGGCATGCTCCTGCCTCACTCTGCGCCAATATAACGATCGGGCTAATTATCGGAGGCGTGACACATGTTATTGCCACTAATTGATAGTTATCGTTGTGAAATGCTGCGCGCCGCCGCTGCCCGAGGGGAATCCTGCCTATCGAATGCACTAGTTTCGCTCATTATCGTCGTGGGCGACAGGCGCGTCGTTTTGGATTCGCTCGCGAAAGAACGGGAAAGAACGGGGAAGGAGCCGCTGAACAAAAGATCGGCCACAAATGAAATTTAGCCGAACAATGGAGAGTGCCTGCTGCTGCCTCTGCCGGGCTGGGTTAAATCTCGTTATCCGGATTCACCGGATTCACCGCGCTCGCGCGTCTACTACCAATCGGTTTAGCATTAGGCGAGTTTCTAATTACTCGTCCTCGACCTCGGCTGCTCGCATTGTTTTTCGGGCGTATGGAGTGACGGAGGATTCTGCGATTGATCGGACGATATCAGTCAAAAGAGCGGCAGAGTGAAGGAATCGATAATCACTAAATCTGTTACGTTCGAAGCAGATGGAGACTGACAATGAAATATCGGAGGGCTGTGACGTCGCTAGTGCAACTTCGTGTACAGTGTCGATCCCTCGCGCGTCTCTTGGCGTCCGTGCGCTCGCCGCGTGTGCCAAATTTAAGAAGGGACCTTCAGCACGAAATACGAGTGACGAATCATCGACACACGCGTCACAATTAAAATCAAGCCTCGAGAGCCACGTCGCTTCCGCGTCTAATAAGCCGACTCGCGCTGATTGATTAGTGACCTTGGCTGTGGCTGTACCAGTGATAGTCAATTTCCAGCTACGACTGGCTGCTAGTTGATAACGCGTCTGTCTTCCTCGCCCCCGTCCTGTTCCATTCGTGCGCGGCGGCCTCAAATCTTGATCGAAATTTTATATTGCGTACACGCACTTCATACTTCAATTTCGTCATTCTATGACAAATGAAAATTGTAAAAATATTTGAAACCCTCGGCTGGCATAGTTCTGACATCTTTTTTTGTCCACAGCAGTGATAAAATCAATCGAACCAAAAAGCTTGATTTGCGAATTCTATGAACAATAAAAATTAAAAATTAGAACAATAATAATCAACCACCGTCACTGAAATGTGTGTATTTTTTGAGCTCTACGTGGGTCAGAATGTGGAGCAGTGAATAAGCTAAAATACGTATCGTTTCTGTATTTTTCTTAATGATGGTGAGTTGAAAAATTGAGAGCGTGCACTGTGAAAATTGGCTGAAAATACCATTTGAACGTACAGATATG